TTCCCTAATGAACTGATTGTTAGAAGACTCCTAAAAGTTGTGATCTTCCAGGCCCTGTAGTGTGCACGGAGACCCTTTTGTTTGGTTTAGATTCCATTGAGTATGGTGGCTTCCAGAGGTATTCAGATCCTTTGTTGTTTGAACACTTTATTGTGCTGTAGATTTAACTTTTAATTGCTAAATTTGATATTTTTGGTCATCAATCTACATTTGGTAACCCATACTGACAAAGTGAAAATTAAAAGTAAAATCGGCTCATAATCTTAAATATATTTCCTGCTTGCTTTAATATTTCCTGAGATGTGTCTTGAGCATGACTGGAATTTAATCTGTAGAAAACTGAATTGATTGGACAGATTTTAGAAAGGTTCACACCTTTGTATACAAGATCCCGCAATTCACGCTGCATATGAGATCACAAACCAGGCCATCAAGTCCAAGGAACTCTCTGTAGAGCTCTGCTGTAAAATTGTGACAAAGCATCAGGGCAAGGGTATAAAATTGTTTCTGAAGCCTCAGAAGTCCTCTGCAGTGAAGGGAGAACCAGCCAGAAGGATGAACAACTCAGTAGTACTCCATCAGTCAGGTGCTTGGACTCTGCCATACAGCTCAGGACTCTGAGAACATGAGGAAAATGATTCTCTGGTCTGATGCAGGGGTGTGTGTGATATGATGATATTAGACTGTGAACGATTAAAATATCTCCACAATCTGCCTTAACAGAGAGATCATTTGTATTGCGCTACAGTGTGCATTCTATCAGTTGCAGTCCTATGGCCAACATGCAGCGCCGCTTAACGTACCTTCACATTCCCTATTGGGCAATATAGAAGCATGGATGTCAACACAGAGGAGTTGGTCCCTAAAAAGAATTTGACATCAGTAATATGGAACCGCTTTGGATTTTCCAAAACTGACACAGTGCAAACAACAGTTATTTGAAAATGTTACAGAGATGGCGTTCACATGTTGGATGGCAATACGACGAACCTTTATAACCACCTCAAAAGAAAGCACCTGAAAGAGTATGCTGGCAGTCAAAGAGTGAGAGGACCCCATGTGCGTGCATCAGCTACAACTTACACGGCCAATGTCTATATGGCCAAAACAAACAACTAACGACAGTATTTGAGAAAGGCGCTCCAAGTAAGTAGTTCCACAAAAAAATGTGGAAAATGAAGGTTACAAAATACTGCTCAGAATAACTGATCTGCCAAACGAAATACCCAGCATGGCCTGAAAAAAAAAATCTTGAAATTATGTTTTTGGCATATCGCCCACCCCTAGTCTGATGAGACAAAAATGGAACTTTTTGGGCAGAACTCCAAGCACCACAATATGTCTGAACACCAGACAGTGCACATCATCTGGCTAATACAGTCCCTGCGGCGAAGCATGGTAGTGGCAGCATTATGTTATACGGGGGTGCTTCTCAGTGGAAAGGGAGACTGGTCAGAATTGAGAGAAGGATGAATACAGACAAATACAAAGAGAGCCTACATCAGAGTGCACCCAACCTACACAAGCAAGACAATGCTGGAGTGGCTTCAAGTCTTTGGCTGTCTTTGAGTTTTCCACCCACAGCCCAGACTTAAACCCTATAGAACATCTGTGGAGAAACCTGAAGGTAGCTATGCAAACATGTCCCATCCAGTATGATGAGTTCAAAAGAATCTGTCAGGAGCAATGGGATAAACTGCCCAAATGCAGGTGTACAGAGCTTGTAGAGACCTACCCAAGAAAACTGGGAGCTGTAATTGCTGCCAAATGGACTTCTATAAAGTACTGAATAAATTGTTTGATTTCGATTCTAAGAGATTCTAAACCAAATCTTAAAATTCTCTAAACATGTGCTTTCATTTTGTCATTATAGGTTATTAAGGGTAGACTGAAAGACAAATAGTTTTATCAATTTAAAGTTAAATCTACAGCACACAAAGTGAATGGGTCTGAATACTTTCAAAGCCACTTTATCTAGGATTTGGCCACCTGTGTTACAACAGTGTGGTGGAGGATTATACACAGTATACTGCATCCGTACTACGATAACACAATTGGAATAGCCAAGGGTCAAACTCACGATGGGTATTCAAAGTGAGCTTACTCAGAAAGAGGAGGATAGATGCCTCTTTTAGGCTGAAGCAGCATCACTTCTATCAGGTGGGTAGCAGCGATAAGACTGATGACATGTCTGCAGTGCCAAAGACCCACCATAGCGAACAACATGTCACTACCAGACAGGGAGTCATCTGTAACAGCCTCAACAGTGTCACTCTTGATGTGCAGTGCTAACAGGACATCAAAGACTGAAGGAGGTAGGTGTTTGGTGGTGTGCATTGCTCTGCTATTGAAGCTTTTATATACAGTGAAGCTGAAACACACAAAAGATTTGAAATGTAAAGACACTGAGCTGTAATGGATCAGGAAATATTCTTTTGTTGAACTTAAAAGAGCACCTAATATATTACTGTATTGTACTGTGGTACAGAGTCCATTCAAGACACAAAACCCAGATCAACCTACATTAGCTGCATTCGTCATCCTCACTCACCGATGTGGCCTTCACAAAGCTTTCTCTGACAGAACACTAAAGTCGCAGGAAGCTTGTGACCAATCACCTCAATGGGATACATCCTGTTGCCTCATCTTTAGTTCTCAGTTAAGCTGCAACATCACAGGGGTACCAAACTCTTCATCTGAGTAAATGCTAAGCCCAACAGGAGGGCTAGAGAACCAGCTGGGAGCTCACAGTGTTGTGACTCGGTAAGAAATTAGTGTGCCAAACAGATCTTATTTCAGAATTCTTAATCTGTAAAGAGAGAAACAGCTGTTGGACTAGTTCCTGGTTCAAAATAGTGTACATAGCTTTCAGTAGTTGAGGTTCTGAGCCAGTGCAGTAGAAATCAATATCTGTTAGAAGCCATATCTGCACTTAGTCTTTAATCTCAGCCTCAGTCCTAGACAAGATAGGGATCTATAGTTGAACCCTTGTGTGTCTTGACTCTCTCCCATTTGTGGCTTGTGGTGCCTTAAAGGATAAGATGTCAAGATTTCAACAATCCCCACACACAGGCTAAAATCAACAGTGAATTCCCTCTGCTCACGGTTGATGTCGGCTACTCTCTGACCTGGATTAGTTTTTCATCTGTGCCATAGACCTTTTGTTATGGTTCAAACAGGATAAAAACATCAGTAAAACACACTTGCTTACTTCAGATGCTGTAAAGGGCGTAGTCTGGCATCTATCTATGGCTACCGTGGGATTTTGTTTGTGATACAATATGAGGTACAGTATGTGATATTTGGTCTCTGATTAGATTCTTAATACTGCATCATACAACCGCTGTTTTCCCAAGGTTTGTATTGTAAATGTCATGGATAGAGCTGCTGCCATTAGTCAACGTAATTGATGATGATGCCGCTGAAAATGCTTCTCTAAATATTTTAAATCAATGCAGTATTTTATTTTTTATTTCTTTAAAACCCTCTTCTTCAATATCACTGTGTAATTGTTGCACGCTTATGTTGTTGTTGTTTTTGTGTCTCACTGATCTTTTGGTCCTTCCTCTGTCAGCACCATTAAGACAAACGTTACAATTTGAACCTCACTAAGGTTTAAAATTAGAGCTTAAGATCTGGATTTTTGACTGTGTAGGTGCAGAACCTATTTTAGGACTTGTGTAAATTCCTAAGCCAAGTCAAGTAGCTGAGTAAGTCCATTACTGAAAATTTTCATCTGTTGTAATACTAGATCTTGGAAGGGATGCAAGTCCCTGTCCATGACAGACAGCAGCAGCATCCTCCTCTCCAAACTGTTCACAGCTCCAGGAGTAGTTCCAGCACACACAGTGTTTTTGATCACTTTATTTAGTTTGTTTGCACTGATGCTCTGATGCTTCTGCCCCAGCAGATTGTAGCAATATTGCTTTCACAACAACAGAGTGGTAAAAGATGTACATCATCTTGCTGCACATATTACTGTAACTAAGCCACCTTTAAAAAGCAAACATTGTCTTGGCTCTTCCAATAAGTAATTCAGCATAGTCCTTCCAGTCTACTGTGTTGTCAAGGTAGATATCTAAGTTATTTTTGTTCTTCAAATTATGGCATTATTTAAAAAAGTCAGTCAGATTAACCACGATCTGTGTTGCTACAGTACTTTCATCATGCTTTATAGCTTTGGCCACACAGTGAACTGTTAGGTTGCGGCTTTTGTCTGAAACATTAAAGGTAGCTTAGGTTTTCTTCCTCAGAATCTCTCTACTTCATTACATCAGCTAAATTTCGTTTTAAATATTTTGTCTTCCATTGCTTTCTGAATCCCTTTTGCACATTGCTAATTTCTTGACCGTTCACCTCCCTGAATAGCTCAATGTCCTCTTTCTTCCTTGCAGTCTCTCATGTTC